AAATGAGTTCATCAACCTTTATATTATTTAGGTCCTGAGCTTCTTCAATAGTAGTTACTTTCATATCAAACCTCTTAGGTAGTGATATAAGAATTTTCCAGCTTTTCTTAAGACATCTTTGCACCTAATTTAAAAGAGGTGTTGGCAATATCACGCAATTTGATGTGGAACTCACAAATAGATTATTCTTCATTCATCCTCAGGTTCTCAAACTTGGTGGTAAGGAGCTACAACCTTGACATACGAACTTTGGATATGCCTTCATGTGTAGTTTTCAAAATAACTCATGCTTCTTTAACTTTTGAACATCTGTTGATCAGCTTGAACATGTTCTTTCCCACACCATTGAAAATTACATTAATTCCTTGAAATTCCGAAGGGCTTCATTATCTTCAGCATCATTCCAATCATCCTATGGTTTTAGGCTGGTAGTACCATCTTCAAAGGTAATCATTGGATGTTTCCATCTCTTGATCACAACTTTCCATGCTTTATTTCCCGAAGATTTGAGAAAATTTACCATCATCACCTTCCAATAATCATAGTTTTTGTCATCCAAAACATGTGGTTTGTGGACCGATCCTTCATCTTTAATTGTCTCCCTTTGAGCATAATTTATCTTTCTTGGAGCTCACCCAACAGGCTAGGGTTTCTGCTCTGATACTAATTGAAATTTTGTTCTTCAAGGGACAGATGTCGAACTTGATGCTTCGATAACAGATTCTATAAGATACACCAGAACCACTATACTAACAAGTGATAGACGGTGGAGCATAAAAGCAATAAAGAACACAATCAATTGTTTATCTAGCTCGGTAAAACTACACCTACGTCTGGGGGTGGAGTCCACAACCCAAGAAAGAAAATTTATTATTAGTAGTTTAGTACATTTAAACCTACTCACTTGCTTCTCTGCCACAATCTCAGTGACAGGGGCAAACAACCACTGAACTCTAGTGATAAACTTTAATCTTTACAAGATGAAAGAATGTTGAATATTACAACTCAACTAGACAAACCTTTTATGTCATGGTACTGAAACATAAAGGTGTACATAAACAATGTTAATTACAACTCAACTAGACAAACCATCTATGCCAAGATATTAAAACATAGAGGTGCACATAAAGATCCTAAACTTATCCTATTAGGGCATTAGTGTGGATACACGACACAAAACCTAACACTCTAAGATCTTAAATGAGAATGTTTTCTTTCTAATATAGGTAGAGCTCCTTATATAACAAAGTAACTCTGAGTTTTTCTCTTTGGATAATATCTTTGAATTCGTCCAGAATTAATGTCGAATATGCTTAATATTTGATTTGCTTCTTGAATATCTACAACAAAATATGATTTTTTAAAATTTTAAGTTCAAATTCAAATATTCATTTAAATTTGAATTAATCTTCATCCAAGTGTAAAACAAATCACCCAATCATATTGTTAAATCAATAACAATAAATTTTTTAACAAATCTTCTGCAAAATATACTCCAAAACGCAGCATTATAACGCCTGTTGCACAATGTCCATATGTCGTACCAACATGTTGGAGCATCAATCCAAATAGCCAGTTTAATAGGAACAACACTTTGAGGAGAGCAAAATCTTCAGTAGAGTTCCTAGAACAAAGAGCAGATTTACTGCTAGAGAAATTAACCTGAGCAGGAATCATGGAAAAAATAGATATGAGAGAAATTTTTTAATTCTTGAAAATTATATCATTCCTCGTCTTCAATATATCATTGACGGTGAAAACAATGGATGCCCTGATTGTGATATCACAGTGAGGTGATCTTCCTTTTGTGAAATTTTTTTGAAGGTCTTCAATAGAGTGGATATGAAGATCTCTCTTAATAAGTCTGCTATTATAGTTAGGCATCAGAAGTCATGTCCTGAGGATCTGTGAGATTGAAATCACCATCTTTGAGAATTTGAAGCTTCTAGATAATTGGAACATTAGATAACCTACCACTTGAGAATTCCAACAATTTTGTATGAAACTATGACAGTCATCATGTAAAAATAAAGTTAGAAATAGAGAAATTGAATATACACACATTTCAATTCAATCCTTAAATATATTATTATAAAAAAATAAAGTTATTAATTTATATTAATACATAAATATAAATAAATTTTATCCTTAGGTTCAAGATCAGTCCAATTAACTTGGAGTTTCTGTTTTAATTTAATAAGTAGACCTAAATTTAAAAAATATATAATAATAATAATAAAAAAAGGCACACAAAAATTTAAAGTATTGTTTAAACTAATAATATTTTTTTATATAATATAAAGTTTCTAACTATTTTAAAAGAGCCTTTCCCGAATATTTTTTGAAGCAATTTCATCAACCAAACTTTTATATTTTATTGTCTAGAAAAGATCATTTTCAACTACTATCAACGTCAATTTATTAAGTCTTTTTGTGAGATGATAGACCGCAAGTAAGTATTTAACAACTTTAATTTTGAAAATTTTTTTTTTACAAAAACAATTGTCACAAGAATAGTCAACAAAATTCTATATGCAATAACTGTATTAGGAAAACAATACAGCCTTTTGAAAATAATAATATATCAATAAGTCTTATGATATCTTCAGGCAAAATTTCTCTTAGTAACTTTAACTCCTCAAAAAAAATCATTCCCATCAATATAAGATTGCTCATTATGCTTCAATATCCATTTAAAGTTACTACAACAAGACTTCAAAGTTGCATCATCCAATGATTGTAACTTGTGAGAAGTAAACAAGAAACCAAAAATATTTTCATAGTCTTGGTATTGCTCAAATCTCTTATTACGAGAAATAACAACTTAATTAATAAGGTAAAGAAAATTATTAACTCTGAAAGATTCCGCTCATCACACAATTGAAAATTAAAACTATGACAAACACAAAGAGTATAAAAGGCTCTTGGATTTATGTCTAAAAAGATTTTTTGTACAACTTGATGCTTTTCTTTCATACTTGACCCATTATCATAACTTTGTCCTCACATCAAATAGCTCGAGATCAAGTTTTTTCAATTTATTTTGTAAATAATCAAAAAGCCTTTGGCCAGTTGTATTATTCATATTAAAAAATTCTAAAAATGATTCTTTAGTGGTAATAGAAATTGAAGAAATGTCCACATATCTTATTATCAAAAACATTTACTCTGGTGACTAACATCTGGAGTACAATCAAGTATTATTAATAAATACTTTGCTTGCTTGATTTTTCTAATGATTTCAATTTTAACTGCAGAACTAAGCAATGAAATCAACTCATTTTATATTTTATGTCCAAGATAATGAGTGTGAACTTTTTTAGTTGTAACACGTCTAACATATTCTTGGATAATTGATTCAAATTCAGATAATATTTCAGTCAAACCCAAAAAGTTATCATTGATATCTTCGTACAATTTTTTCTTAGAATCATAAAAGGTCAAATTATGTTTAGCAAGAAATTTCATTATTGAAATAACTCTTTGTAAAACATTTTTCCAACAATCTCTTTTCTTCTCAATTAATCTTTGATTCGTTTTATCAATAGTTTGAAATTTCTACAGCCTTTGACGATACTCATACCAAGTAGTCATATTATTAACATGTTTCATACCTAATTCGTGCTCTTTAATTCTTGCACCAACATGTGACCAATCACTGTAACCCTCATTTGCTAATTGTCCCCTACCAATCCCATTTTTTAAATTCTTACAACAGAAACAAAATACTCTATCAAGCTCTTTCGAATAAACAAGTCAATATTTATCACACTTCTCTCCATTTGCTAAAGCTCTAGTATATAAATTAGTCGTAAAATATTTATTCCAATTATCTATAGGACTATTCACAATAGACTTATCTCACTTAGGCCCTTTCACAACAAATAAATCAATAATTTTAGGTTGAAGGCGATCTCAATTTCTTAAATCAAATATATCATAATCAACATTATCATCATCATTATTAACTTCCTCAAAATTATCTTCATCATTATTAACTTTATCATCAATAGGCACACTATCAACACTATCAATTTTAATAGACACACTATCAAAATTATCATTTTCAATGGACTCATTATCAAGAATTTTAACATTAATATTATCAATATAATAACTTTCATTTGAAACTTATGGTTCTTTTATCAAAATTTTATAGAACTCCAACTTGAAATTGAATTAACTCTTTAATTTTTTTTCTTTTTCTTACTCTTTATCATTTCCACATTCATACTTTGCAGTATTTACTAACAACCGTTTAACGTTTCCTTTGTGATGTCTGAAATCTTGTATTGTTTGTTTAGTTTTTTTTTTTTGTTTTACCTTATCGTCATTTCATTTTCCCCCCTTACGTTTGAAATGCGGAAAAATATATATTTTAATTCAACTATCGTCACTTAAATTACCTCACACATCTCATATTTGTTATTACTATTATTATAAATTAAAATTGAGATATAATTTCAAATAAATATCTTTTTTTTTTAAATATCGTGCTAAATATTGAAATAGTAATAAATTCTATTTATTTAGTAGTTTGTTAATTTATTTAAACATATGTATATTTTAATCCAAAAAATAATATGTATATTACTTATTTATTTAAACACATTCTCATAAAACAGATTTTTAACTAAACTAACAAATTATATCACACTATCAAAGCTTGTCAATGACAAACTACAATTTGAGTCTAGGATTTGAATTTTTTTTGTCGGATTAATTTTAAAGTTTGCAAAGTTTTATTCAATATTATTTCTAATTATAAAGAGATTGTTCTAATAAAGAGAATAATTAAAGAGACTCTTAGTCTATATAATTTATCTATATTAATATCTATAAAGCTATTAAACATTTTAAATTAGTGACATGATTTAACAAAAAACACATTACATCAATATAAGAATTTCCACAAGAACTTGAAGCAAAGAAAAAATAAATTAACAAGTTAATAAGTAAGAAATAAAGTTTTAAAAAAATTGATGAACCAAGATACAAAATCACAACTTGAATTCGCAAAAACAGTCGGGAAGAGCGGAGCCTCTTCCCGCGACGAACTCGTCCCTATGAACCTTCCATAGGGCTTGCATCAACTCTTTTTCTCTCAGACCTTGTGAGGTTAATTCGGCGAATCCCCTTCTACTCAAAAATAGAGTTTTGTATAACCCTTTGAAAGCTCTCATTGCTGCAACCATCTTGTCCATGTTCCCAAAATATGTAGCTATGTATGAATCACTATTGATAGATATATGATAATCCAAAGCAGCTTTTGTATTGCCATGCATGTTTGTGAAGTCTTCTTCGTTGAGAAGGTTAGACTTGGTGAATATGTTTGTGTAAATATTGGTTAACCCTTCGATTTCCATCAGACCGTCTCCGGCTGCCAGGTATATATTCGTTGTTGACGGAATAGAGAGAGATTGAAGTATTAAAGCTGTCTCGTTAGGTGTGAGGGGACATTTCCCGCGTTGTCTCCAAACTCGGGCTAATTCTCCAGTCCATGGTTTTCTCTCGACTAGTGCTACTGCTGCCTCTACGGCTTTGATGGAAGAAGGTGAAAGACCGGGGTATTGGCACTGGCTATACGCAACCATGTCGGGCTCAAAACGAAGATGGAGTGACAAAAAGGGTTTAGGTATTGCGTCTAGGAGCTTAGAAGCTTTCATTTCCAAGGGTTTGGCGAGACGTAAGGCCTTGTAACAAGCTTGACACAGTGCAGCTTTTGCATACAAAGGATATCTGTCCCTTCTTTGTGACATTGCTGGTGTGATTGAAATGTATTTGTGTTTTAATAGAGACGGGAGGACGCTTTCAACGTAATCGAATTGGCCTTTTCTTTTGCTACAGTCAACTTGAACAGGCTCTTTTGTTGCAATCTCTGGTGGTAACGTTTTGGCGACTTTGACAAAGCCATTCATCTCTTGAATGAAGTAATCTAGATCATATACATCGGCGAAACCACTGTAATAGAACATAGAAGTCCTTTCAACAAGATTACGATAAATGAATCATTGTAACTTAGAACAACACAGATCAGATGCAATGTTATCAATTGTGGATGGCAGAGCGAAAAGCCAAAGCACAGAAATAGAAAGAAAAGTTACCTTGTTTCATTCCAATATGAAGCCACTTCAAACTTTGGCAGGACAAGCGTTGCATTTAACAGCCGAGCAATTCCCACACCGTCACAGAACTGCAATCACAACACTCAAATTCAAGAAACAAGCAAAAGAATATTGAACATCATCGACGGGTCTAGAGTTGAAATTCAAGAGCTTCCTTCAAAGCACTCACATCTCTTCGCATCTGATTGAGGCCTCCGTAGCAATCCACTCTGATATATCCATTGGTTTCCAATGGTAGAGCTGCACCATTTCAAGAATAAAAAAAACGAAAGCAATGTCTGCAATGAAAGCCAATTAAGGTTGATTCAGAAAATAAAAAAATCCAACTATCAACCCTCATCCCACATCTCAACCAACCAACCAACTTGACCCAATCCATTAAATTGTATTTGCAAAATTAACTTCTTTAGTTGACGTCTAATACTTTGTATTGAAGGTGTGTCCGACAATATAGTCAAGCATGGGATTTTAAGTAGGATCAGTCAGCTAGTGAAAGATCGTAAAACTCGAATCATTAGCACAGCAAGTAAGATCCTACCGAAAGGAAAAATAATAATTCTATACATATATATATATACACACACACACACAAACAAAAACACAAAAAAAATTACAATACAGGCACAAAAACATTTTTTTTACGATCTTGCTTCAAAAAGCATGACCTTGACCCTGCCGGCAACGAAAATGATCTTTCTCTGATCTTAGCACTCTCAGACCTCCTTAAAATGTAAGATCTTACAATCTTATGATCCAGCACTCGATCTTGACTACACTGGTTTCCGGTGTCGCACACGTATTAGTGTTCAATACTGACACATGTGATCACATTCAAATACTTCTACTTTCTCAAATCATTCTTGGTGTCAACGTATCACTCTCGGAACCGATGTTTGTGTTTTTCACAGTAATTCATAGATCAATGTAAAGCTAAGCATATGCCATAAATTCCAACCATTTAAACACAAGTAGAGCTATTCCAAGTAATTTTCCAAAAGTCTAATCACTACAAACAATTATAGCATCCTAAATAAGTAAAAAACAAAAAATTAACAAATTTTTAATCTCAAAAGCTTATAGCTAATAATAGAACCAAATATGATTCGATCAAGCAAAAAAAAAAAAGTACCTGTTTGATGTCCTTGTAGCCACCATTTGCAAGGTCTCCATTCCATGAGTCTCCGAACACTCCATATATCTACTTCCCCTCTGCAACCTCACCAATTCACAGATCAGTAACAAGAATAAATAAATAAACCGTTACTATATAAGATACTATAATATTCATTTTGGAAATACCCAGTTGCAAAGTTCGAATCTTTTTGACATATTAAACCTAGAAACAAAAAGGGAAATTGAAATTGTGAAGCATACAATGAGGGTTCTCCAGAAATCTGATATTGGGAGAAAGGGTAACGAGGCGAGATCAATGTGAAAACGACAAGGAGAGTGAGTGAAACGACAAAGATAGTGAATAAGGGTTTTACAGAGAAATCGACCATTTGATTTCAGAGAATTTGTGATGAAAATTTGATCTTTCTGTGATGGCGATGAAAATGGAAAGAGAATGAAAGAAAATTGATGCTAGGTGTGTGCATTGTAGATTCTTGTTCCTCAATGTATTTATTTTATTTTTCAAATAAAATTCAACCCTTTCTTTTTCTTTTTCTTTTTTTTATATAAATTAATGCATCTCTTTTAATAGTTAGACTAATGTTTTTGGTGAATTGTCATGGTATCTTAATGAATCTCTTTATAGGGAATAGACAAATTTAAAATTTTGTTAATCACCAAAATCAAAATTGCATTTTAAAATGTTTGTGGCTATTTTTAGGAATAACTATTTTTAGGTGAATTGGATTTTGGGTGATCGCAAGTGTGTCTTAAGGTAGATATGGAGCATAATAAAAATAACTAGATTCCATTTTATTGTTTTGTATATTTTTAGATAGAAATAAGCATGTTTTTCATTTTACATAAATTAAAAGAAAAAAATTGGAAGAGATGAAATGGAATTGTTTCGGGACGGTTATAAGTTTATATTTTTAGATAGAAATAAGCATGTTTTTCATTTTACGTAAATTAAAAGAAAAAAATTGGATAAAATGAAATGGAAATTTTTTTGGGAATAATAAAGTGTTTGTTTGTTTTAGCTTTAAAAAAATAAATATTTTATTTTTGAAATTACTTTTTATGAAAATATTTTTTAAAATATTTAAAATAAATAAATTTATTTTTTTATAAATTAAAAGATTAATTTTGACATCTTATAACATAAACACATATTATTAAAGATCAAAACATAGTTAAAATCGCAATTTAAAAAAATTGTATTTCGAAAATGATTTTTATAAAAAACTATTTGAAATTTTGATATCCAATAAAGTTTCAATAAGATAATGAAATACCTAAACTAACATTTTTAGAACAACTATTCAAACCAAATTTTCATTTATAGTTTTTAATAAATAATTCAGTGTAAATTTTTTTTAACAAAAATATGTAACACTACAAAAATCTTTTAAAAAACTAAAACAAACGGGCCCAAAGTCTAATTATGATAAGGATTAGTCCAAAAACATATGTACTAGGACATGAGGATTCAGAGTACCAGCATCTATATGGTCCACACCTATTCCTCACCCTCAAACAATCGCCACCATCAATTATAAATGGAGGGGGCCTCGTATAAGGTAATAATTTTAACTGTTCATGTTATATAAAGCATAACACACATCGTTTCAATTATATTTTCTCATTCACACTTTCAAACTATTTTCTCACTCATTCACTGATTTGGTGTTAGAGTGATAATTTGCAAGTCTAACTCTGCTTCATAGTACTAAAGGCTTGCTCCACCGCATCAGAACTCTAATTCATCCAATCTCCTCCTATTCTTGGTTCACGGACGAAACAATGGTACCATATGTCAGAATTGACATCTAATTCTAACAAATTTCTACAATCAGATTCTTCTGATTCCAAAGTCATGAATCACTGTCTCACTTTAAAGAGGACGTTAATGCCCAATTCAGCTATTGAAGTTACCACAGATCTATCAACTCCAAGATTATATATCACCTTGTAATTTGATTGATTGTTCGTGCATCATTTGACAAGGAATAAGAGATTGAAAACGTCCACCGAAAAACTATTCAATATCGTTTATGATAACTAGGAGTCAGGAAGAAATATTCTTAGGGTTCCGAGACTATGAAAAGGTGGATAGAGCTCCTAATGTGACACTTTCCTAAGTCATAACTACTATCATTTCCAATCACTTAATGTTAGGGATCCTTATTGATGATGAGAGTTTGTGTGATGTTATGTATATCAGCATCTTTAAAAGATTAGGATTTCGTGAGAAGGACCTCACATTATATGAAAGCAAAAATCTTATCGCGTTTAAAGACTCTTCTACTCGCTCGTGCAGGACCGTGGAATTATTGGTTTATGCTATAGAGGTAAAGTATTAGAGGACTGTGAACGCTTTTTTCATTGTGATCCTCTATGATAACATATACAATGATGTCTTATGGAGGCCATTTCTCGCAGCATTAGACCTGGTGATCTCAACAACAAGAAGAAGAAACCCTACAAGAAGATGATCTCGGTTATCCGCCAAGAGTCAAAGTGAAAGCCTTGAGGATAATTCCAGATGGTAACTTCAAGGTGGTATAACTTAATGATAACCAGACGAGATTAATCCCTATAAGAGCCAATCTTCCATCTAAGATGAAGAGATGGCTCATTTAATGCCTCAAAACTAATGTTGACTTCTTTGCAGTTTCTCTCAACTAGATGTCCTGCATAGACTATGGTGTGGCTTATCACCAATTGAATATCAATCCTTATGCCCTTATGTAGTGTAAGAACAGAGTATGCCTAAGAGGGGGGGGGGGTGAATTAGGACTTTTGAAATTTTTCCGGTTTTTATGGTATTTTGAAATATCACTGGTTTGTGTTTTTGGTTATTAAAGCAGAAGAAGAAAGATAAAAGAACAATGGACACCAGGATTTATAGTGGTTCCCCTCACAATCCGAGAGTACTCCACTCCCCTTTCAACATGAAAGAGAATTTTCACTATTGTTTAATAAAGTACAACCTATCACACCATCAACCGGTGAGGCCTACTATCAAACAATAAAACTAACAAGTGTACAAGAACAATCCTCTTGTAAACACTCACCCTTGTGTCCAACAATCCTGGATCACAAGTCAATATACACAAGTTTGTAAAGATTTGAATTTGAGAGTAATGATATCAAAGTTGATCTTCTCCAAATGATCAGAATTCACTCTTACAATTTTCAATACAAGTGTTCAAGGATGAATATGAAATTTATGCACATATGAACACTTAATGAAAGTTTTAAAAAAAAGTGAATTTGATTCTAAGACACTTTGAAAATGAATGTAGAAAGTGTTTGGAGAATGAAAAGTTTTTGTGTTATGTTCTATATTTTTCAAAATAGAAAAACTCAGAATTTATATGAGTAAAATACCCTTTCAGAAAGGTACAATGAGTAGTCATCAAAAATGTGAAATGGTATGAATTTTTTAAATAATTTTTGAACTTGAAACAAAGCAATTTTTCACTGCACGTTCAGTGTTAATCGGTTAACCCATATGGTTAATCGGTTAACACTGGTACGTTAGCCCAGAAAATTCAAAATTCAAATTGGTTAACCGGTTAACCTATATGGTTAATCGGTTAACACTGCTAATTTTCAGAAAAATGTTTTTTAAAATTAATGTTATACCATTTTAAGGTTTCAAAAAAAATGCTTATGTATTATGCAAAAATGATTGATGTTTTTGAACACTTGTATATCAAATTATAAGGGTAGAATTTGATATACCGGTAATGCATCCAAGTCTGGAAGAATCATAGTTCCATATGTAGCTTGACTTGAAAGATAGCTTGACTTGATCTTGATAACTTTGAACGGCTTGTCTTTTTGCAATCAAGAGATGACTTTGAGTAATATTGACATCATCAAAACTTGAGACTGAAGCATGCTTCTACATTCTCCCCCTTTTTGATGATGGCAATCAAAAATGTTGTGCGATATCTCTTGGTTCTTGATCTGGTTCTCCCCCTATGTCTAGCAACTCCCCCTATCTTAACAGAGGAAAAAAAATCTGCACACAGAGAGACATTAAAAGAACCAAGCTCTTCTCCCCCTTTGACATCAGCAAAAAGGAAGAGCTTTCAAAGAAATCACAAGATAGCAGTATATATAGTAATAAGCACATGCAAAGCCAAGTAAACACAAAGCACAAATAGTAGTACATATAAAATGCAGCAAATAGAAATTGTACTTGTTACAATAAAACATAGTTCAAATGAAAGCATAAAAACTTAAGACTAGAAAGCAAAGCAATAAAAACAACAGCAGCAGCATATTCTCTAAAAATCCTCATCCGCCATATCCTCCTCCTCTTCTTCTTGTCCTTCATTTTCTTCATCAGATACAACAGGGCTGTCAGGGTTGGTGTGGTGAGAAGAAAGTACAAGGTTCCGGAGAGAAGCAATGGCCCGGGAGGTTTCTCTATGCTGAGTCATGATAGTTTGGTAAAGGAACTTGTTTGTGATGCCTCCTGCAGGTACGGGAAAGGCCTGGTTAGCATTGGCTCCTTCTTCTGAATACTTGTAAGTACCGTCATTATCCTTAAAAATTCCAGTATTCTTGACAATTGTAATCTCGTTGATCTCATTGGTGGTTGATTTCATCTTGATGGTTGGTTCACGGTTAAGATCCAAAGTAGTCAATTCCAAAATTCTTGATATCAGCCGTGCATAAGGAAGACGGGTCGACAGAGATAGTTGTTGTTGAAGGTGATACATGATGGTCAGAATCCAATTGACACGAATCTTGTTCTTGATGGCGAAAAGAAGTTGCATTTCCAGATCATTAATTTGTGCATGATTCGAATCCTTGGGAATCAGCACATAGCAGATTATGTAGTGAAGCATCCGATCAGAGACGGTAAGATTCTTTGCATAGCACAACAGACGAGCAGTACGTTGGTTGGCGATAATCATCTCCTTTGGAAATCTGCAGATCTGATAATAGAACTCCATCTTGTCGTAGTTGGACCACGGCCCTTCCACGTGGTTAACTCCCTTTCTCAGAAAGTACCCAGATGATGGTATGTTCAGCATTGCAGCAACATCAGACAGATTTTCTTCAACAACACAGTCTCTAACAATTGTTTTCATAATATGCTCATCATTTGCATTTAGAAACACAGACAGTTTATGCAAAAAGGATTTGACAAGATCCGGGTAGCAGTTTCCAGAATCAGACACAAATTTATCGATCCTCTGATATTTGAGCAAAGCAGGAAAATCAAAAGATGATGCAGGAAAAGCCTTAAGATTCACATACTTTACCGGAAGGATAGAACGAACTCGGACTTTGAAATCCATTCTGCGTTTCTTGGTTGTTTCCATAGGAATATCTTTATCAGATGCAGAGTGATGTTCTGGAAGTT